TATATATATATGGCTAGAAAAAGACGACAAAATACTATTATAATTATGTTGATATGAGAATATTTGTATAATTCATATATAAGAGCAAGCTAGCAGTAGTAATACAGTTAAAATGGGCTAATTGGCAGTTAATTATATACCTATTCTAAGCATACATTTTCTTCATCGTAATGAGGCGATATTTGGGAGAAGAGTCTCCCATTCAACGGACATTTTACCAAAACCCTGTTTCTCAGTATCATATATTTCTTTTTTCGTATTCCTCATGAGAACCAGACAACGCCCGCACCTAGCTAGTTTCTTTGTTCTTATTTTCTCTTTTTGTTTTGATTTTTTTTAAAATATAATTCTAAACTGAATAATGGAGCTTTTGTGGTAGTAATTTCTGTTTCTTAGTGAAAACACGTCAAAATCGAAAAGCATACAAACATTATAATATGTACATGTATGTATATATGTATATATGTGATCTGGTGTTTCAAGAATCATATAATTTGATCCAGTATTAATTTTGTATACTAATAAAAAAATATGACTTATCAAATAAAACTTATACATCATATAAGTTGCGTTGTGTTGATCGTCACTATTGCTAAGTCCCATTTGTTTCGCTAATTCGTATTGAGAACTTAAGTTTAAAAGTAAATTTGTGTGAAAGAAAATACTGTAGCATAAAAAATGAAATTTAAATTTTTGTGAGAAAAATATTATAATAAAAATTTAATTCGAACTAATGAAATGACTACACTATTTGTAATTTCTCTAAGTTTTTATTTTCTTTTTAAAAAGAAGATAAGTCACACTTTCTACCGTTTTTTTAGCTGAATATTATATTGTTATTTCCTTGTCTTTATTTCTGTGCCCATCTTCGTTAAAGCCAACAATATTGCACTGATCCACATCTCTCTGACTCTCCCTCTCTCCTTCTCTCTCTTCTCTCTATGTGTCTTTAAACCATCGTGCCCTTGAAGCCAAGAAAACATTTCCGTTGTCTGTCTGCCTTTCTTGAGTGAGCGGTTGTCCTTTTTTCTTTGTCACTGAAGGAACCCTAGCTAGCTTCTTTTCTACCAAAAGGTTTGCTTTTTGTTGTCAATCTTTCTTTTTTTTTTTTTTTTTTCTTTTTCTTTTTAGCTTTCTTCTATCTCGTTATCTCTCTTCTTTAGGTTTTTTTCCAGCTTTTGTTGAAGATGTATTTGAATTTATATATTTTTAACATCAGTTCAATCTTTTTACTTGCTTTGTTTATAGCTAAACTGGAACTGGGAGTTTATAAATTACAAACCCAAGTGTAAACCAGCTCTGCCTTTAATTTCAACAAGTCGGTTGGATTTTGTTACAGAAGATATGGGTTTCTACTTAAGAAAATAAATAGACAAAAATCAAAGCAGTAGTTTATTACTACTACTAGATCTTATCTTGATGAGGATATATTGACGTTCTGTGATTTTCATTTTCTTCTTCATTCAGCGGAGCTAAACGAGAGAAGCATGTAAATTCTCTATGCGTTTATTATCCTAAGAATCTACGTACTCAATTTGTCTTTCTACGACCAGTACACATGATCATGTAATAATCTTTTGGTCATATTGTAAATGATCTTCTTACTATGGAAAACGTTCGATCAAGGGTTTCGGAATATACTAGGATCTAGGGTTCTTCTTTTCCGTTTTGAGATCTTGTCGAAAGCAACATCTTTATTTACTCAATAATTTCAGGCTATGAGTGCTTAGACTGCGTAGCGGGTTTTTTTTTTTTTTTTTTGGTTGTTGAAGTTAGTTTCTTCTTGGTAGATAAAGAGTTTACAACTTCTTTAATTTCTTCAAGTGTGATTTTGAGTTTGTAACTAGTTGACAAAAATGACTTTATAAGATCTTTCTACCACACGTACTTGCAATTTCCACTTGATTTTCTGGGCCTGTTTTGATTCAAACATTATACAGGTGCCTCATGAGCAGAAGACATGATAGTCAATATTCTACCTATAATAGTACCTTTTTTGTTTTATTATATATAGTTTAAACTTAGTTATATTCCTTAATTGATATGTATTCTTGCCTGGCATGCAACATACACGTATATATGTATATATAATTAAACGTGGTTTTCTTAGCTTCAGAATTTTATTTAGTACTGATCATGTATGCTTTTTTTTTTTTAATTTTTTTGACTCATTTTTCAGGAGAAAAAAACAAAACAAAACAAAATAAAAGGAATGAACATGGCAGCCGGCAATGGGCAACTCAGTGTTCCTCCAGGCTTCCGATTTCATCCAACAGATGAGGAGCTTCTCTACTATTATCTACGAAAGAAAGTTTCATACGAAGCCATTGATCTTGACGTTATTAGAGAGGTTGATCTTAACAAACTTGAGCCTTGGGATCTCAAAGGTCAGATATTTATTAATTTTATACAGTACACGAAATCTATTAAATGCGGTTTATTTATAATATTGATGATGATAACCATTAGTGGTTGATGTTGCTAATTAATTAATTAGCTGTATTTTGGTAGCTAAATCTTGAAAAGGGTATTATTAGTTCATTTGATAATTATTTGTTTTTGTTAAATGTGGTTTTCAGAGAAATGCAAAATAGGTTCAGGGCCACAAAACGATTGGTACTTCTTCAGCCACAAGGACAAGAAATACCCGACCGGAACTAGGACAAACCGGGCAACTGCCGCCGGCTTTTGGAAGGCAACAGGGCGGGATAAAGCCATCCACCTCAGTGACTCTAAAAGGATTGGGATGAGGAAAACCCTAGTCTTCTACACTGGTCGTGCTCCTAACGGCCAAAAAACCGACTGGATCATGCATGAGTATCGCCTCGATGACCATGACAGTGCAGATCAGATTCAGGTAATGCTTACTAAGTATCCTCCCTCTTTGATCACTCAAAAATTACCCAAGTAATTTTAACAACAATTAGTAGAGTTTATGAATATGAATACAATATATTTCCCACTACTAATACCTAAAAAAAAAATAGTGTCAACTAATTAGTTGAGATATGCCCTTCACTAATCTTGATATTAGTTGTGTTTATTTCAAAAAAAAAAAAATTGTATCATACAATAATGTCAGAACTATATGTGAGGCTTTAGATATGACTAGAAAAAAAGACTTGCCTTCACTCATTTTACCATTCAAATCACAATTCAAACTTTTTACTACATTATTTTCTCTCAAAAAATTCAAAATCTTTTTCTGTTACAGCGTTTTTTCTCACACGAGTTCACTTCTCAACTCAAGTTTTCAATTCGAATGAGCAAAATTAATAAGACCATAAATATATTTTGGTTTAGTGTAAAATGAGAGAGAAATGAAAAATGACTTTTAGTCATTTTTTATTTTTTATTTTTGTTTTCTCCTCTCTAGAGCAGAGAGAGAGACATTAATGGATTTTTTTATACTAAAAATAATCTCTTGATAAAACTACCAAACGTATTTTTAAAAATGATTTATGTCTGAGATTGAAAACGTTTTCATTTTCATTTTCATACAAAAAATAAAATCATTTTAGAACGAGTTCCAAGCGCGCCCTTAATATTTTTTTTTATTCAACTTTTCAGGAAAAATATGTTAGATCCCAAGTGACGCATATAATTAATTTTATCGACTTAACAACCAATGTAATAGCATGCTATACTCTTTTGAACACAATATAGCATTTTTAAACCTGAAGTACTTGCATATAACTTTATGTAATACATACACACACACACACACATACATACATACATACATAACCTAACAATTATTTTTGCTTGTCTAGCAGGAGGATGGTTGGGTTGTCTGCAGAGTGTTCAAGAAGAAAACCCACAACAGAGGTTTCCAACCAGAAATTTCTAATAATCAAGCTGAGCTAGAAGCTGCAGACTACTCACACATGAAGGCAAGTAGTTCTTCGGCCCCACTAGTAGTAGATCATCACAATCATCAGTCAAAACATCATCATCATCATCTGCCACAACTCTATGATTATGCTTTTGACGGCTCCATGCACCTCCCACAGCTCTTTTGCCCAGAATCCGTCGTTCCTGCGATCCCACCTTTCGTCTCTCCACTGATCTCCTTGAACACCATGGACCTCGAGTGTTCTCAGAACTTGTTGAGGCTCACATCCAACGGACTGGTCCCGACGCCGCCGCCGGAGCAACGCTTCAACGGCAGCGGGGATTGGACCTTCTTGGACAAGCTTCTTGCCAACTCTTACCACCACCATCATCAGCAACACCCAGCTCATCAAGCCAAATGTCACCCTTCAACACCGTCCGATCATCATCACGTTGCTGATCATCAGCATGATCATGTAGGCACTGCTTCCACTTCCACCCAAAGATTATTCCCATTTCAATAACTTAGCTGCGACAATGACATATTGAAGTTTCCCAAGTAGCTAGACTACGTACGTATCTATATAATATTAATATTGGTCGGAACGTTCAGTAATACTACCGATCGACAAAATATATATATATATATATATATTTAGTTGTGCGGCTGAAGTATAAATCAACTTTGGTTTATTATTCGTAGTGAGGAATTGTTTCTGTTAATTTATAATGTCATCTATTTTTTCTAGCTTTTGTTTAATTAGGAGTTATTAGTTTTCTTTTTGGGGTGTTGAAATGTATATAAACTAAGTTCAGAACTACAAGAATGAGAGATATTAATGCTCACATTGCATGGATATCTTTGTTAATTCATTCTTATTAATTATTTAGATGATCTTTTCTTCTTATTGATAATATGGAATCTAATATTAAACAAAATGTGGTTACTCAAGTGCATTACGTGTGATGTAGGACAAGATAGACAAGACAGAATAAAGAGTAGAGACACAAACATAATAGAATATTGTTATAAGAGAGGGATTAGAGAGAATAAGAACTCAAAAGAAAGAAAACAACAAATATCAATATTTCATCACTAACCATTCTCTTAAAATAAACTAAATTGTTTGCATCACATAAGTCTTATATTATAGGAACAGCAATTATAATTCAAAATCTTAAATCAAATTTAATTCAAAATATTTATATTACCAAAATGCAAATCCTAATCTTTATCCTTTTACTCAGGTTGAAGACAATTGATTCCGATGAGTTTGAACTGAAAAGAATCATGACGTAACAATATGAAACGCAAGAAAATCTTTAATCGCATCACTTGATTCTTAAAAGGAGTACTCATAGGAACTTGATATGTCATTGTACCTTACTAAGGGAGTGATTTATTTATTTATTTTTTTTTGCCTATTTAAAATGTTTTTTATGGCCAAAAATTGTTAAGAAACAATAGAATAAGCTCTCAATTTGTCCAAAAACATCTCATATTTCTCTCAAGCCTACATCGCAGTCGTTTTCTCATTAATTGAGGATTGATTTCGAAATCACTATTTAGCTTACCTTATTACTTGCACTGATTTAATTAGTGAATGCAAGTTTCTCCAAGTTCCAAATTTGTATCATACCATTGGGTGGATAGTTTCTTGATCGTGCTAGATCTTTTTCAAAACCATTTTCAATCATAGAGGTTGTCAATCCCTAAATTAATTTGTCGAGAAAGGATAACCAAATCCTAGGTTAATGTTTGCTGGTTGTAGTAAAGGTGTGGTGGGCCTTATCTAAACAAGTCACCGGATTGTATTGTAGAGGTCACACTGAAGAGATGGTCATGATAGTAGATAAGGCCAAGCTATGGTTGCTCACTTAGGGTTAAAATAAATCCATAAATCGCATAAACATATTGACAAAATTTAAGAATTATCGTATCCCCTTAGTAATTTTTATCCAATAGTTATATGCATAAAGGTATTAAATTATTACGGTTCTCTAGTTCCTAAAACATAAAAAAAAAAAATATTTTAGGTTGTTTTCTATTTAAATTCTTAAAATAAGAAATAATTAAAATAATATACATCGTTCTCTTTCTAGTTATTATTCTTCTCATTTCATTCTATTAAGAATTTATAGACGCGCCTTAAGAAAATGGCGAACGTTGCAAACGCACAAACGTACGCACCATCAAACTTTCGTGTTGTTATTTGGATAAAGGCATGCTACACATGAACTAACAACTTGGTTTGTAGTTTCATTTTAGTTTAAGATAAAATCCCACTCCACTTGTGAAACTGATAATCCTGAATTTAATCCAATGCTCCTTATGTAAGCAAAAGACATCTCACGTATGCAATCAATTAAAATATTAACATACTCATCTGACTAATGATTTTGCACCGGTATTAGTATAACCATTATCGACATTTTTTTTAAAGAGAAAATTATTGAATTTACTCTTAAAATGGTATGAGTTAAGATTATAACCCTCATTCTTAATTAATACCCTTTTATTAGTATAATTATTTAATTAAAAACATTATTAATTAAGAATAAAGGATAAAAATCCTAATTATATAAGTATTTGTCTTTTTTTATTATTTATTGTTAATTAAATTGAGGCGTGATGAAATAAGAAGGGGTCCCTGGTAATTTGCCTCCAAGTGTCGATGAAATAAGAAGGGGTCCTGCTAATTAGCATTACCCACCAGTTTCCTTGGGCCGCACAACTTTTTATCAGATTATATAAATATACAATATATATATATATATATATATATATATATATATATACATATTTATGTATGGATGGAGGCCCTTGAACAACCTATAGAGTTGATGAATATTATGCAAAACATAAAACTCAATCCAACGTCCAAGAGTCATTTCAGTTTGCTATACATATAAATACAGGTCCTTCAATAGGCTTTTGAAGCACCCTGATTTTGAGGAGTTTACTGGAGATTATAATACATCACTACGTAGTCTAATTTCAAGAAGTAAATCCGATCGAGTAAGAGTTTTCTCTTATATCTCCTTTTTCCATCTTTTCTTTTCTTTTCTTTTCTTTTTGTTTTTTAAGGGATTTCATTCGAACCGCAACTATCACTCCCTAGTAACACTTAAATTTTCGTTAATTAATTAGACATGTGACATGGTATTTTCATATAATTTAACCAAAAATTATGATTCTAGCAATTTTTATGTAGTTCCGATATCAAGGTTCTGGTTTTTTAGCAAAATAAATAAAATAAAAATCTGTTGAAGCGTTTCTCACATCTTAGGATGGTGATATACAAGGATTAGATATTCGCTCTCTAGTTTTACGTTTCAGTAAAATTTACCCTCTATAACTGAAAACTATATCTACACTACTCTTTATATTTGAACTTTTGGTTTCAAGTCCCCGGCCACTGCCTAGTATGAAACCGCAACAGGGAGATTTCTCCTTTGCATACCGCAGCGGCACAATCTCCGCCGTGCTCCACAACCACCATCTCTGTCATGTTCCTCTTTGTGTTTACAGATTGAACAATGTTATAAGACATCAGTAGTGCTTAGCTCCGCCTTATTAATAGAAGGTGAATCCTACAGTGTAGGACCCATAATTAATGATGGTATTTAATACCGGTCGTGTCCCTAAGTATTTTTCTTTGAAATTTTATTTGTGTATACCATTAAAAAACCGTGTGGATAGAGCATTAAGCTGCCGCCGTAACACATCATAATTCTTAGTATCACGGTAGGATATCATCGGTAGTACAATAGACTATCACTGGTGAGCTACTATCAGTAACTTGCTATGATCCTATTAGGAGTGTTTTCAGATATTAATATCCCGTTCATTTTACTGATTCGATTTTAAAATTTAAATTTTATTACAGTAAAAAGCTCTCATATAAAGTCACATCTAAACTCAAATTAACGAATTAAACGAACACAATGTATTGGTACTGTATTTTCTAGGAGGGTTTTTTTTTTTTTATCAGGACAAAAACCATTACATATTTTAAGATCGTGGCATTTCTATAAACCTCTCGTCTCACGTTTGCTTCAAAGGCACAGTGACGGGAAATAGGGAGTGGCTGACATCAGCCTTCTGTTTGTTAGGATGTGTTTGTCTTGTTGACCAGTGACACACACAGGACGGATAGAAGTTGACTAGGCAAAAGCCAACATAAAAACTAAGGATAAGCCATAAGAGTAATAAAACAAAACAAAAGTGGGTAAGATGTAACCTAAGTAAGGGATTACATAAAAATAATTGCAAAGATTAGCATATCCACTAATCATCTTTTTTTTTTTTTTTTTTGGTGGTTCACTATTCGTCTGAAATATTATTGAATACGATGTACAATTCTGAATTTCTCACTGTCAATTTCAATAGCTTAGGCATTGACTACGTGATTTTATCCTCACTACACAATAGCATGATATGGTCCTCTTCTTAAGCACGTAGAGTTTTATAGTAGGTGGTGAAAAACACCACGTAATCATATAAAATATGTGTGATTATATATTATTATAGAGAAATTATTGAACTTGTCTTGTTATGAGTATAAATTTTTAACTTCATTAATACTCTTTTAATTAATATAATTATTTAATTAAAAGTAATATTAATTAAAAGTAATATTAATTAAGAGGAAGAGATAAAAATTCAGACTCATGCATACTAAGGCCATGTTCATTTCACCGATTCGAATTTAGAATTCGAGTTTTGCTATAATAAAAAGCTCTCATAAATAGTCACATCTAACTTTTTTACTACAGTAAAAAAACTCTCACATAAAGTCGCATCTTAACTCAAATTAAAAACTCGAATCAGCGAATTAAACGGATCATATGAGTATATTTGTGTCCTTTCTCTATTAATCTACTATCCATCCGTGTCATTCTTTGCATTAGAGCACAAAATATTAATATGTTTGCTTATAGTTGCTTCATGATAAGTCATATTAATATTCCCAATTCAACTAAGCCAAATTCTTATCCTTATTGTGACTGATATTTCTGAATATGAGTTGGTGTTGTCAACACAACATTTGCTATTTTTTTCCTTAATTTCTGAAACAAAGAAAATAAAAATCTAAAATTTGGCCGGGTGTGAATGAATGCCTTTTTTGCTCTCTTGCGTGACATATCTTTCAGCGTGGGTTTTCCAACTTTTCCTTTTGATGATTTGATTCCCCAAAGTTAAATATCTTTTGTCCAAAGTTAAATTCTTTTGTCCATAAGTATCCATTTGAAGAAGTAAACATGTAACAGGAGAGAAAGAGAGAGAGAGAGAGAGAATCTCTTTGGAAATCCTAAAAGGTTTCGGACAAATAAAAAATAAATAAATAAATCAATATCAATATCAATAGAACGGGAAAAAAGGATAATTAGAAACGGGAAAAAAGAAAATACCCACATAGTCCCTAGGTTTAGTTTTCAAATTTCTAAGTTGAAAAACAGGAGTCTTTGCGATGGTCAGAGGGAATTGTGTATTTGTTGTTAGGTTAATTTTTTAAGAGTCAGATATATATTAAGAACAATTCTGTATGGCACATTACACGTTTTTAATACATATTAAAAAAATTAGAATTCTGTATGATATATTATAAATTTTTAATACATATTTATATAAATTTTACTGTTAAAAAATAAATCTAACGATTAAAATTAAATATTCTTATAAGTGGAGTAAAATAGCATATCCCATCTTAAAAATTCCCAATACATAAATAAAATTAAAATTAAAATTAAAAAAAAATTAAATAGCAAAAGGGTAAAAGCCAATTTTGTTCAAAGGAACTTGGGTTCTCCTAAAAGGCTTTGCCACCCGCCGCCTGACTGAAAGAACAAAACGCAAAGAAGGTGGTTTTTTTTCTTCATTTTATCCTTGTTTTCCAAAGCACTTCTCTCTCTTTTTCTCCATTCACACTAAACTCCATTTCTTGGCTTCTTTCATTCTTTCCAATGACACTTGCAAAACCACCCCTTCCTTTTGCTATGCTTTGCCTATCTTCTTGTTTGTGAACAAGCTTTGGAACAAGAACCAGTAGAACTATTGATTTTTGTGTGAACTAACCACAAATCCCAAAAACAAAAGTAAATAAACAAAAAAAAAAAGCAAAGCAAAGAAGAGTAGAGGAGGGGACATCACAAAACAGAAGGCTTCGTAAAAACCGCCATTGTCAACAAGGTTTTTTTGGTTTCTCTCTGTTTTTTGTTTCTTTTTCTTTTTCATTTCTATTTAACCCCAGATAATATCTTCGTCTAGAGTCTTATCTCTTTATCCTTGTTTAATGTCAAATGTTGTCACTCTTTGGTTTTATCATAACAAGACGCTAACTGGATTTCCATTATCTATACAATCTTTGTAACGTTGGACTTCTCTGTGTTTTCGTTGGCAGAAGTCAGGAGAGAGCTATATATATTTATATATCGTTTTTGTTTGTGGTTGTGAGGCCCAAAAAGATAAAGATGAAGTACGTATTGGTTACTGGTGGTGTTGTTAGCGGACTTGGTAAAGGAGTCACAGCTAGTAGTATTGGTGTTCTCCTCAAGGCTTGTGGTCTTCGTGTTACTTCTATCAAGATTGGTATGCTCCTGCTTCTTGTGTGATGTTTTCTCCCTTTTTTTTTTCATCTGGGGTTGCTCCAAATGACCATTTCTTGGTGTCTATTGTCTAATGCAAAAAATGTTTTATAGGATTATTCACTAGCATTTCTAGCCTTAGTTTTATATGAAACTTGTTTTTCTCTGTCATTCAAAGCCATTGTACAACTTCCTAATGTTACTGGTTGAGATTCTACTTACTAATGTTTAATATTCCATTACTTCATGCAGACCCTTACCTGAACACAGATGCAGGGACAATGTCTCCTTTTGAGCATGGGGAGGTGTTTGTCTTAGACGATGGCGGTGAGGTAAATTGCCAAAGAAGCGGAATTTTGCATTTTGTTTGATATAGGATTGCCTTATTTCTTGTGTTTTCTGCACTCATATCTCTATCTCATTGTTTGACCTGATTATCTGTTTTGTGGAGAGTCGGTTTTGAGTTTTTTATGCAATAAAAATGAAGAATGGGGACTTACTGTTTGTTTGTTTATGTATTTCTGAAGGTGGACCTTGACCTGGGAAACTATGAGCGGTTTCTAGACACGACACTGACCCGTGACAACAATATCACCACTGGAAAAATATATCAGGTTTTTTTTTTTTTTTTTTTTTCCTTCTTTGACCATTTCTGTATTTGAGAGCTGTGTTTTAAAATTGGTTATAATCATGGATCGTGATAATTATTGGCTTTCTCCCATCCTAAATTTAGTTTTCTTGTTTGAACAGTCTGTTATTAACAGAGAGAGAAAAGGAGATTATCTTGGAAAAACTGTCCAGGTATGTTATAACCTGGTTGGTTCATTTGATGATTTGTTTTCAATGGTCTATTCAACAAAATTTCCTTATTATTATTATTATTATTATTATTATTATTATTGGCTTTGCAAAAGGTGGTTCCACACATTACTGATGCCATACAAGAGTGGATAGAGCGGGTGGCAATGGTACCAGTTGATGGGAAAGAGGGTCCAGCTGATGTTTGTGTCATCGAGTTGGGTGGAACTATAGGTAAAGTAGCATCATCTATGATTCTATGTGCTCTTCTCCATAGTTAGCCATTTCTTTGTTTCTTAGAAGCTTGAATTTTGTTCTTGATGCAGGGGATATTGAGTCTATGCCATTTATTGAGGCACTTGGTCAATTCTCATATCGCGTAGGTAGGATCAATTACAAAGGCACTTGCTCAATTCTACGTAAACTAACTTGCTTTTAAGATGTGTTTTAGCAAACTTTTTTCTCATTTTTTTTTTTCCTGGGTATTAGGGTCTGGCAATTTCCTCTTGATTCATGTCAGCCTCGTCCCTGTTCTTAACGTTGTTGGTGAGCAGGTACATCAACAGTACAAGTTACTAAAGCTGTGTACTGATACCGAATTTGGTTTTCCTTAACATGTAGCCTTTCCCCATTGTGATGCATATTTTTGCTCATATACTTGATCAGTTATGTGAAGGCGGGCCTTGGCACCATGGTGGGAGCGCTTGCGTTTGCACCCGGGGTCTAAGGTTCGAATCCCGGAAACGGCTTCTCCTTTGAGGGGTAAGGCCGCGTACATATGGGATTGAGCTTTCCCCCGAACCTGTCATAGTACGGGAGCCTCTTTGGCACTGGGGCCCGCCTTTTTTTATACTTGATCAGTTATGTGGTAATTAAATTTTGTTGTCATATTCTTAATTTATAGAAAACAAAGCCTACCCAACATAGTGTCCGGGGACTAAGAGGACTGGGTTTGACACCAAATATTCTTGCTTGCCGCAGTACAAAGGTCTTATTCTTCAACCGTTTTCCCAAATTTGCTGACCGATTACAAATTTCATGTGGCAATCTCAAATGGTTATTATTATTATTTTTTTTTTAATTTCATTTGTAATCAACAGCCACTTGATGAGAATGTTAAGGAAAAGCTTGCTCAGTTTTGTCATGTGCCGGTATGAATAGCATCATTACACAATGTGTCATCTCTTCCTTTTCTTCCTTTTGACCAGAGTTTTTGTAATAAACTTTAACTTTTTTACAGGCTGAAAACATTGTCACTCTTTATGATGTTCCAAACATTTGGCTCATTCCCTTGTTATTAAGAGTAAGAAGCCTTTGTTTTTCCTCAGATTTTTTAATACTATTACTGCTCCTTAACTTGTTTGGGCTTCAGTTCTTTTTCTAGAAGAAACTTAGTTTCGTTTTTTTTTTGTTTTTGCCTCTTCTCTTTCCTGTCAAATTAGGATCAGAAGGCACATGAAGCAATCCTGAAAGGACTGAATCTTCTAGGGTATATGTTTTCTAAACTTAGTCTTTCCCCTTTTAATCATATTCTTATATGATAGCATTAACATTTATGACCATGCTTGCTGGAAATGATTGTGCTTTTTTCTATAGAATTTTAACATTTTACATGACATGCAGGGTTGCTAGAAAACCTGATTTGGAGGAGTGGACTGCTAGAACAAAAATTTGTGACATGCTGAACGCTCCTGTACATTTCAAGACTTGCTTCGAATATTTGACATTATCTTATCTATGCGTCACCGGTATCATGGTCTTGACTCTTGAGTATTGTGTAATTACAGGTTAGGATTGCTATGGTTGGAAAATACACCGGACTTTCAGATGCTTACCTCTCTGTTTTAAAGGTGAATTTCTATACAAAATTGTGACTACCTGTTTGGGGATGCGGATACTGTACTGACACATTATCATTCATAATAACTATTCAGATACAATTCTAATGTCTAGCTAATTGTCCCAGGCTCTTTTGCATGCTTCGGTTGCTTGCCACCGGAAGCTTATTGTGGACTGTGTAGCAGCAGCTGACCTTGAAGATGCAACTGCAAAAGAGGTGAGGATTGATTTTAACATAAGTTGGATTTACCTTGGATTTTAACCTACGTTGGGTAGCAGCAGGTGACTTTCTGTGGAGCATATTATTCAGTTTTACATACGTTGGATTTACCTTCCACTGTTTCACAATCTACAGGCCCCTGATGCACATAAAGCTGCGTGGGATCTTTTGAAGGTGACGTCGTAAACCATTATTGCATTAGTACCATGTTAAGTTTAATGTTTGTTACTGTCTTCGATCGATCTTATGTAAAGTCTTTTGTTTCAGGGTGCTGATGGTGTTCTAGTTCCAGGCGGTTTTGGTGATAGAGGAGTGAAAGGGAAAATTCTTGCAGCAAAATATGCTCGAGAGAACAAAGTTCCATACCTTGGAATATGTCTGGGCATGCAAATTGCTGTCATTGAATTTGCACGATCTGTTCTTAATTTACATGATGCCAACAGTACCGAGTTTGATCCCAACACCAAAACTCCCTGCGTTATATTTATGCCAGAGGTGCGCAAACTATAATAAATTTATTTCTACCAAGTTAATTTTGATTCCTGTATTCATTTTTTTTTTAATCTTATTAAGAGAGTTCTTGTTTATTGAGCAGGGTTCAAAAACTCACATGGGAGGAACCATGCGTTTGGGATCAAGGAGGACTTATTTCAACGTTGCAGACTGCAAATCTGCAAAGTTGTAAGGGCATACAACTTATTTCAAGTCTACATTTTTTGATGATGTTTTAAACACAAGATGACTCCATTACCTATAAATAAATAAAACACACACTAGATGACTCTCGTGTTGGGATGCTATTATGTTTCATATGCTTCATAACTTGGTTTATTCTGAAAATGACTACACGAAACAGTATAAATATTTAGAGTTGATAAAGGGGTGATTATATTTTATTAAAACCTCATTACGAAAAATTTCAAGTTTAACCCACGAAATGTGGTTTGGGATTGTGTTCTCAGATATGGCAATGTAGGTTTTGTTGATGAACGTCATCGACACAGATACGAGGTAAAGCTATGCTGCGTGATACAAGAGATGATGTGTTACTTCAGTCTTAGTAGTTGATCAGACCTTAAAAGAAACTTTTGTTGTGCAGGTCAATCCTGATATGGTTTCACAACTTGAAAAGGCTGGTATGTTGTTTGTTGGCAAAGATGAAACTGGCCAAAGAATGGAGGTAACTAATTGCTTTAACAGTCTACATCATGCTGTGTTTGAAAACCCAGTGATTAGAGTTAACAAAAGATTTACTTTGTTTATGTGGCTTTCTGGTATTACATGTGGTGAGTATATTTTTGTGATGATCACAGATTATCGAGCTGCCTACACATCCATACTTCGTTGGTGCTCAATTCCATCCCGAGTTCAAATCAAGACCAGGCAAACCTTCTGCACTGTTCTTAGGTATGTTTTTAGTTGCTTTTTTTTTTTTCCTTCGAGTTCTTGGTTGATATTTTTCCCCCTTCAATCTACTTGTTTGTCTAAGGTTATGTTATGATCAGTACCAATATCAGATATATTTTTGTTCTGTTTATGACTGTTTGGTTCCAAGTCATGCTTATAGTTTATTTGACATATCGAAGTTAGTAATATCAAAAGCAGTCTCGTCTTTTTGATTATTCTCATTTGGTAACTATATAGGTTTAGAATCAAGGAATTAGCAACTAGAAAGGTTTCTTTGATGCTAAGTGACTACATATTCTGGAGTAAAAATTTCATTGATAAGATGCCTCAAAAAAGTTCAGTTATTGAGTACCCTCTATTTCTGATCAATTTAAGAGGGGGGATAAATGCTAAATAAGCTCGTCGTGACTTGGTGCAAAGTCTTTACTATTCAGGGACTGATTTCTGTTTCTATGGAAGTCACATTTCTATTGGTTTTTATCGTTCATATCTTGTTGAAAAAAATCTTTGCTTCTCCACAATAGTACGGGGACTGGCTCAATTATGATAATATTCTTTCTTGGTAAGGATCTCGAGGAAAAGTTGAGCCATCCTTGTATATTAGTATCAATTCTATTTTCTGACTCGACTATTCTCCGAAGTGGCTATGCATCGTGATTTTGCATCTAAGATTGGCCAGCTGATAAAGCCGATTTATTCCACTGTCGTGCACAGGACTTATTGCAGCGGCATGCGGGAACTTGGCAACGGTTCTTCAGAACAATGGCCATGTCACCAAGTCACTTAGCAATGGAATAAGCAATGGACACTTGACGACAAAAACCTACCAAAATGGAAAAATTTTAAAGACTTCCAATGGGTCAGTAAACGGTGTGTATAGCAATGGCAATTGCAATGGTGTGCACTGATGAGAGAGTTAAAGCCAATTGTTTGTTTTTGTTGGAATCGCCTTGGGTTCTGTCTGTACAGCTTTCTTGAGTTGGGTAGGATGGTGTTAGCTCTCAAGGACTTGTCTTCATGATGAAGCTTGATTTTGCTTTGAAGGGCTCAGCTTGTTTTTCGAAAGAAGATTTGGCTCCAAGTGGGAAAAGTTGCTTCTTCGGACCAAGTCTTGTCTCTACTTTTTTTCCCTTTTACTAATATGTGTTATGTGACGAACCTTTTGGCCATTTGCCGTGGAAAAGGGACCTTTGGTCTTAAGTTCGTTGTATGTTTTAAACGAATATTTCTTTTTTCACCCTTTTTTTCTGATAGAGAATAAATAAGTTTGCCATCTATATTAACTACAAATGCCAAAGGTAAAAGCATTACAGTTTCAGATGCGTGTGCTTATATTTTGGAGTCCTATAGATGTCTTGGTGCAAAAGAGATTGTAGTCCATTTCAGTGTTACTTTTATCCTTTACAAATACATTACTCATTGATAATTGTCACGGTCTGTGCTCTTCCAAGTTAATGTCCTTCGACACTTGCGGCTAGTTCAAGTGGTTAGGTATCTGAGTGTGAGTTTGTCAAATTGAAGTGGTTTTATTTCTCGTGTAAAGTGAGTTATAGGCTTCACACTACATCCAAAAGAATTCTGATAGGATTTAGCTGGTGTTTGGAGATATGACTCCTAAGATTTGTGGGACATATTCTTCCGAAGTGGATTCACCAGTTTCCAACAGGATCTCTTGTACTCCGAGAAATACCTTTGAAATAAAAGCCTTTTTTTATATTTGTAAGTCATTTATATATATATATATATATATTGATAATCTTTTAATAAGTCATTTATACTTGAGTAATCTTGACAAATACCCCTTAAAAGTACATGGATCGGGATTTTTACTCTTTACTCTTGATTCATAACTCTTTTAGTCAAATAATTACACTAACAAAAGAGTATTTATTAAGAGTAAGGGATAAAGGTCCAGACTCATATACTCTCAAGGGTAAATTCTCCATTTTTTTCCTTTATTATTTATTACTTATTCTATATTATCTTCGACCTATTTTCTTTAACAAGTATTATCATCTTTGTCCTTTTGTTATAATAAACTTAAAGCTAATACAAGGGTTAAGTCTCATAAATAGTACTTGAGGTTTACCCTTAATCCTGCGTGGTCCATGACTTTTAAAACATCTCACACTTGATCTCTGAGATTTTACTCTGTTTCAATTTCAGTCCTAATGTTAGCTATGTGTTAAATATTTGACAAAATGGGTAAATTAGAAACCAAAATTAGAAACATATAAAAAATTTAGAAACTATTTATAGAAATTAAGTTTTATTTTTTGTATTATTTTAGTCTCTAAACTTTAGCTATTTTCAATTTTGATCTCTAATTTCGACATATTTCATCAAATATTTAACACTTAGATAATTTTCTGAAAGTGGAAAATAATTTTCCGAACTACTATTTCATGCTCCATGATCATAGAGATAGAGACGCAGAAGGATGCGCAAAAGAACAGAATTAAAGGAAAAGAAGAAAATTAATCATTGTTCTCTATGTAAAAGACTAACTCGGCTACCATAGGCCAACTAAAATCCTACACATGGTGGTTAGACTTAAAGAATGTATAAATAAAACAAAGCTAGACATCGATTGAGTGTACAAAATGCGCTTTTTGAATTACCTGAAACATATTTTGCATTCATTAATTATTACCCTCTGCAATGGAGCGGCAAAAGTTGCCTTATATAAGACTCGCACCAAATAATGCCAATTAGTTAATATTGTAGCAACAACTACAGACTCGATGATAAGCTATGTGTACCGTCACGGTTGATGGTCTCAATGTTCCAATTTCTTCGATTGTTGTTGGGGTCAATCGTGGATATACGTAATGTCTTTTTGTGATAGTCATACAGAGTTCGCCTGTGGCCAACACTGATGTATGTTATACCTGCCTTTTCAATCTGCCGATATAAATGAGCCTGCCAAAAAAAAAAGGGGGGAGCAGAACTGTCATAACTTGAAATCCTATTAAGTAAGCGGTTACATTTTTTTTTCTAATACAGTGTGGGATCTATGCCTCCCACTTTACACAAGAAATAAAACCATTAGGATTCAAATACCGATGGACACACGCACGTACACACGCATGAACAAATAAGCAGAAAGAAAAAGTAATGTATTTCATGTTCTTATAGCTCATTCTAGCATAGTTAGACGACTTGCATTGTGAAATTCCAGGATAAGTCGAGTTTAGATCGAGTGAATACCTCATTGGCTTCATCCAAAGCACTCGTAGATTCATCCAGAAGAACCAACTTTGGCTTTGAAAGCAACAGACGTGCAAAAGCAAGGCGTTGCTGCTCCCCCAGAGACAAGACACTAGACCACTCACACGTTAAATCCAGACTACCAAAACGAGACAATAGATAACCGAGACGGACATCCTCCAAAACCTGTATTATGTCCTCTGTTGTGGGCTTACCACGTTTTGCACTTGCATTCTCTGAGTTTGGCCCTCGCATCAAGAAAGGCAGTGAATCTGGGACATAAATTATACAGAGTGCATAAGGAGATTGAAGGACACAGTACACTACAGAATACTGGTTGTCAAGACTCAAAAAGCACATAAACTACATTTCAAGGGGGAAGGGAACATAAGGTTTCATAAAATAAAGTGCAAAACAAATGCGTTCCAGTACAGTTAAAAATGCTTTGGCAATAAAGTACTGCAGAAAATGCTCACAAATGCATGTTACGAAATTTAAAGTTGGTGGAAAAGAATTTTGTGTACCATTTGATGAGGGAATTGCATCTTCAGACCACGTTGGATAAAGCAACTGTTGACAAAGTGTTCCCAAAACCATATATGGTCTTTGAGGAAGGAAAAACACACTCTTATAATTTCTAGTGAGGGACCTTTCACGTTTTCCATCAGAATCATGAGTAGTATCAGCTTCAATAAGACCTGAATCAGAAGAAATGGGTAGCTGGAGATTTTCTCCATCTTCCATGTAGAATGTGATTTTCCCTCTTCCAGTATTCCAGAGACCAGCCATAGCTCTTAACAAAGAAGTCTTACCGCTGCCACTTGGTCCAGTCACCTGTTGACACAATCATATAGAGGTAAAATTTCATCAACTCTACAATTATATGCTGTTAACCTAAACAACACAGAATTGATTTACTAACCAGCAGATGCTCCTTGGGGTTGATTCCCAAGGATAACTCTCTAACCAATGTAGAATTACTGCCTGGTGTCCTTACAGTTAAATGCTCCACGTCCAGTAACTTATGGCTCTTTGCTGTTGGCACGGATCCATTTGACTCCAATGTGGGTGAGCCACCAGCACTAGAATATACAACATGAATCTCCTCTAAGGGTTCAGAATGGCTTTTAGAGCTGCTGCTTTCCAAAACATCCTCAAACTCACCTACATACATAAGGAGAATACCAATCTATGACAAATTAAATATGATCCGTTTTAAATTATGGTATAACAACCTTACCTATTAGCATTAACATTTGAAGAATGTTATAGCAATTAATTTCAGGTACGTTAAGCAATATAAAACTATGAACAATAACTAGATGATGACAGTTGGGGAGTACATATTTTTCATCTTAGACAAATCCATATATATAGATGAGTTCTGAACAATTAAACAGCAAGGTGTAAGGAATACTTTTATATAAACTCTTGGAAACGTTTTTGTTTCAATACCTTCCTAGCAACTTGAAAGATGCAAAGAAGCCACTAAATTGCAAGATTTATGTTATTCTGTATGGAGAGCCTTATATACATCAAGTAGTTGAGCTAGCTTCTTTCAAAATTGAAAGTGTTCAGAGCTAGTAATACAAAGGATAAAAGGAACAAGGAAAAGAAAAAACAACAGAGAGAGAGAGAGAGAGATCAAAATACAATACCTAGTCGATCAATTATAGCTGAAAATGCGCTGATAGCTTGAATTTGGTATACAACGAGGGAAAAGTCTCCAAGGATGTGATTAAAAGCAGACACCGACTGGTTAATGACACCAAACTCAATTTTTCCAGAGAAGTACATTGGAGCAACTACAGCGGCAGGAAGAATTTGAATGAGGTAGCGATAACCACTGGTGAAAAAGTCTAGATTTCTTGAAGATATCAGCAATCGCTGCAAAGAGAACATAATCATATCATAATAATAATTCAAACAAGTTATCACGTGGAATGTAATTGCTCAACTATGATGAATTTGAATGATAACATTAAAAAAAAAAAAGAACTTCAGAACACTCTAGAAATAACAATAACATTATCACCCTTGAATGAATCCTATGAAATTCCAATGAGTTCTAAGATTGAATGAAAGGGCGACTGCATGAAGCCAATGTCATATGGTTTTGTCACGTCCAACTGCGTACTTGTTCAAACTATCTAGCATATATATCCCATATCACTCTCCAAAGTTTTAACTATAATGCATTTTACCATAGCTAACCTCAAGTTCTTTAATAAGATTTACACACACACACACACACACATATATATATAAGCTAATGGTTTATACATGTCTCTGAATTTATTTGTCCTCGAGAACAATAGCGGATTTTGACCAAATAAATAAATAAAATAGAATTCTACCATTTTTCTGTTTTTGATGAAAAATAAACAAAAAATGAAAAAAGAATTTTTGTTCTCCATGGAAATGAACAGAAAATTATGATCACTGTCAGGTCTAATGATAACAGTAGACATATCATAAGCCTAGGTAAGGATATTGGATGCAAATCTATAGTGTACAAATGCATCAACAGAAATCTTAAAAATGAGAAGAAAACGGCATAAGATGAAAACTATTCATACAGTTAAATTTTCAAAAGCACTCTTGAAGCGTTGCAGCAGAAGTTGCATTTCATTTGATTCACCGCCATAAAAAGCAATAGATTCGGCATTTTCTCGGACGCGCACAAGTCCATAACGAAAATCTGCTTCTTTCTTTTCTTGCAAGAAGTTTAGAGTCACCAGTTCCTGAAACCACAGTGAAAAGGTTCATTGAGTTTTAATTGATACATCCATTGGCTGAAACTCACTACATGGTAGGGATATGATATCTGTGAAGACTCAGAAAAATAGATATGAAATTACCCTTCCAAGAAAGACACTTATAGCTGTCCCGCCAATGGAATACACAAGAAGAACAGCAAACAAAGGAGGATAGATACCAAACAAGATGTTACTGAATGATATCAAATCCACCGTAGCATTGAAAAGTGACAAAGAGAATGAAAGGGCCGTCCCCGTGAAAGAACTTAGATCATCAACTATCCGCTGATCAGGATTATCAATAATTGACTGGGATTGAATTTTATAGAATGTCTGATTCTTGAAATAGCGTTCTGTATAATATTTCGTCATCCAAGACCTCCATCGCAGAGAAAGAGTTTCTCTTACATAATCTCGCTGCACAAAAACCTGTGGACAGCATTTAATAAGGGAACAGATATATGAGTAACATAAGATCAAAGAGGAAAGTAACTACAAAAATGAGATTTTAATTCTAGTGTTCTAGCTATTGTTTTTATGTAGGACAGAAGACATCATTATACGATGTTCGTTTGCGCTCTAACTAGGTTTAAGCTTGGTTTGAATACTCTGTGGGTCATATGTGGGTATTTGGGTAATTGAAGAGAAAATTGTTTGCACAAGGGTGATTATACTATGTGGAAACATGGAGAGAAAATACAGAAAGAGGAATACCTAAAGCGAAAATGCAGCAATTTGTGTGCTCACCGGAATTCCAGCAGCGAATGCTCCCAGGTAGTACAGCAGTTGCTTGGTAAATTGTTCTTGGTCCTTGTCTTAAGCGTAATCCATTTCAATCAACAAAGAAAAACTCAGTAAACAGCATTCAAAATTTTGAAATAATCCAGAAGGAGCAGAACACATGAAATATGTGGATCAAGCTACAAGCAACCTAAGCATATTTTGTTAATTAATTAAATTTTTCCTTTTTAGTGACCTGTTAAGTTGCCGTTTTCCTATTAGTAAAACATAACCTTCCACCAATAGATCAAATGACATCATTCATCAATTGGCATTTCACTTTTGACATCGTTATAAAACTTTGGTAGATAACTTGAAATCCATAACATTAGGTAAATTGAACCGTTGCATCTCAAACTTTTCGTTTTTTGCATAATGCACTTAGAACTTTCAATTTTGGCAAATTGCACCATAAACTTTAAAATTAGTTACAATTGAGGTCCAATAGGTAATGGATGTTATCAAATTGACGGTTTAAAACACGTAATTCACACATGAAAAGTAAAGATTGTCACTTTTCAAACCATGTCACGGCAAATCTCGTGTTTTGAACTGTCAATTTGATTACGCCATTAGTTATTGGACTTCAACTGCAACTGATTTTAAAGTTTAGAGTGCAATTTGTTGAAATTGAAAGTTCGGGGTCCATTGTGCAAAACCTGAATAGTTTAGGGTTCAACAGTGCAATTTACTCATAACATTATTGTTGAAGTCATAGAAAAATATAGGCACGAGAATAGATATAGGCTCATTTGAGAAAAACTCGAGTCTCAACCTCCATTGATAAAGCTTTTGAGAGGGATCCAAACCTCCCAAAGATACCAAAATGTGAAATAATACATCCACATCTTTCAGATTTTATTAAAGGTACTTAATTAGAGAATTTATTACACATAAAACCGAGGAAACGGTTTCCTACAGATTATCCCACTATAAGCTTGACACGTTCAGCATAAGAATAATGACTAAAAATTTGGGATTAATTGATTAAATTCTATTACTCCTACAACTAACCATTGGATATATTTCAAATAAAAAAATTTGAAAAGTATAAATACACAATTTATTTACAATAAAAATTTAGAACCATAACAAATACAAAAAGAGACTAGAAGTCAAGAAAGCAATATACATACATACATATATGTATCATACATAGTCATTGAAATTTCAGCTATGAATCGAATTGAACAGAACAAATGGGAGAAAGAAAGAAAGAAACTGACTGGCTAGGGCATTGAAGAAATCCCGTCCAAGGAAATTGAATCCGACGCTGATACCAGTAGTGAGAAGAGTGAGAGCGAAGACAGTGGCGAGCTGCAATCTTGCTTGGAATTGATCATCGGAGAACCAATATGGCGCAGCCACTTTCCAGAATCGTCGGACGAGAGTCTGCAGATCCGGAACCTTCCTCTGCAGTTCCTGAACCAGACCTCTAATTTTTCTCACTTTCCAAACAGAAAAACAAGAAAGAAACGACAAAGAAGAAGAAGAAGAACAAAGAAACGAACCTTATCAGGAGGCGGAGGCGACGGTGGCGATTCCGTAGCCTCCGTCGAAGCCGTCGCGCGACATGAAGAAGAAGAAGAAAGCTTATCAAGATTGGTTGTTCTCCTGCGAATCATGAAACTAGTCGTAGCATTAGAAGGAGGAGGAGGCATTGTAAGAGAATTACAGTTCCGAGCATGGCGATGATGATGGATTTGGAAGCTGGGACTATGTAACGCCCAACAGATTCGCGCTTGTGCCGCCATTTTTATTCTCACGCTACCTCTACTTTTTTCCTTTTTTCACTTTTACTTTTTTTCTAATAATATAAATACATTCTCTTCTGTTTGTTATTCGACTTTCTCTTCTTTGCTTTCCTTGTCTGTGTACAAAAAGAAATGGTGTGTAGGGGGAAACTGGAAACGGGCACTTTGGTGTTGGTGTTGGAATTTATGGTAATGGATGAGAGATGTGGCATGTGTGTGTGTGTGTGTATGACTATATATATATATGTGCATATATATGCACATATATATAGTCATATATATATATATATATGCATATGCCACATCTCTCATCCATTACCATAAATTCCAACACCAACACCAAAGTGCCCGTTTCCAGTTTCCCCCTACACACCATTTCTTTTTGTACACAGACAAGGAAAGCAAAGAAGAGAAAGTCGAATAACAAACAGATATATATATATATATGCATATATATATATATATATGATATGCATATACATATATGCGTGACTAATCAAACTAAAACTAAATTATGCATGCCACGGCTCCCAAGTCCAACCATATACACTCTCCGGTGTTCTTTTCTTGCAAGACACAACGCTATCTGCAAACAAACGCCTTTGCGATCCCCGTTATGCCACGTGTCATCTGATTATTAGATTAGCAATCGCAAAGTACATATCCGTGTTGTAATAAAATATGTTTTACGGTTGACGATTGCTCGACTTAAAAATAAATTACTTCCAAAAAAAAAAAAAAAGGCTAGTGTCACTCTTATTTTTTTATAATTTTTTGTTTAAATAATAACATATTATATTAACATAGTTTGTGTCAAACGGTAAATATAAAAAATAATAGAGAGTATCCTACCATTTCTAAAAAAAAAAGGTTAAATACGAATTTCTCCTATTTAAATTTAGGGGCATGAGAACACCATATTGTATTAGTTTTACAAGGTTTGTGAGCGAAAATTGTTTTGGCAATTAGAGAACCCCAGCTTATTCCCCAAAACAGTTACTCTCAATTTGAAATTTTCACTCGTGATGTGCATAAAGGGACTACTTTGATGCAAAAAGATCAGAATTAGTCTCATTCAATGTTCATTTTCAACATTGCAATGAATTTCAATATTTAAGAGATACATTTTTAAGATTAAAAGTTAGAGGTTCAATTTTCCAAACGCGTAAAATTGAGAGGATGTTCGTACAAAAAAAACCTAAATAATTAGACTAAATTCTCTAGTAGGTCACGCTTCAACAGAAAACTTTGAATTGCAAACGTTTTAAGAGTTTGAGTGTCTTTTGGTCAAAATTTGAAAGAATGGGAACCATAGTATCACCTATTAAAGAGTTGGGATATTTAAAATTTTATATCATGTATTTTAAGTTTATCAAAAACGTCACCCTCTATTTTGAGTGTTCTCAAAATAGTACCTCCACAATTTAAATTCATGTCAAATACATACATTTTCTAGGTTAACAGTTGATTTTGATTTTTAAATGGCAAATGTACCCTTTATAGGTCATGTATAAACCCGCAATAAAATATTAAGACAAACATATCCTTCAAATTGTAGCTTTAGAAAATAACTTGTGGTTTTGTTTTCTAAACATTATGCTTGCTTCATTTTTGTGACAAGAAGACATATATAAGGTGCAAAGGTTAAACTTGTCAACTCAAGATCAAAATCAAATATTCACCGAGAAATAGTACAATTTTGATATTTAAAACTACAACTTTGAGAACATCTAAGAATAGTTTTTTTTTTTTTTTTTGATAAACTCAAAATGCAATGTATTAAAAAGAAAATAACGTAGAGAGTTTGGTGACTAGTGATACCATTTACTCCAACTTTAATTGAATCGGTGTTTGTATTATTATTATTTTAGGAAAAGTATTATTTGATATATATGCAGCGGACAGTATTGAAATAATTGCCATGTACATTTTTTCCTCACCAAACTTCCACCTGCGAGTATTTTGCAGGGTCAATTTAACCCTGGTAGGAATGAAAAAGACAAAAAAAGAAAAGAAAAAGGCGACAACTAAAAAGTCTTAAAAAAAAACACTTGCATTACACACTTGTAGGATGATCGAGAGTAAAGCTGTCCCCCGAATACAAGAATACTGTTACATGCAAAACATTAGCTTACCATAAACTAAGCTTCTTTAATCAAACAATCAACTGCATAGGACCAGATCAGCCTAGAGTACAAAACATACAAGAATTACTAATTGGATCACACAAATACAGTAAACATGAGGGATTAGCAAAACAACATAGCTTAGTAGAGCTAATTCTTTAAGGGCATGGCAGTCGTCACTGGATGGATCTACCCCCATTCTCTTCATCCCTGCCTGCTTCCCCTTCTGCTATTCCTTGTGATGTTGTCTTTGCCATGACCTCACCAGGAGGCGGGTGATCAAACTTGCAGGTAGCCCCGAACTTGCATGCTCCGGTTTTCAAATAGTACGGGCAGATTATAGAACCCTGTCAAAATGTACCACCTTCGTGAATATGACTTGTAAACTTATAAGCTAGCACATGTGATTATGGTTACCTGGCCAAAATAGAAAATCTCCGACAAAACGTAATGATATGATCAACATTTCAAGAGCTACGTTTTGATGCTACGTTTTCTTAATATCCCAAGAGCACCCCAACCCCACTTAACGAATTTGAGTTCAAAACTGGCGCTTCAGCTTGCGTTACTACTCGTGGATATTTATTTGCATGTTCAACAACATGCATATCTTCCCCATTCATTAGGTGAGCAAACCAGAGAGGAATTTCAAACTCAAAACGACACAAGGAATTCTCAAGGACAGACTATCAGCAATAAGTAACACTAGAGGCGCTAACCTGAGTGAATCAAGTTGTTGAATACTTCTAAAAAAATAAAAGAAGCACGAAATCTAAAGCATCAACACTTCGGGAAAAAAAAAAAAAAAAAAAACATCCATCTTTTTTTTTCTATTTGCACTCTATTGAGGGGCAATGCAAGCGACTAGACTATATTTGCAAAGCCTCATAATTAGGTATTTTTACAGCAACATAAGAACTTCTGTCTAAAAGACGGTGATCAAGGAAGCACGAACTGGTCAAACAGTCTTCATTAGAGAACTTACAGAAAGATTCTTCAATCTTCTTATTTGTCAAACGCCCAAAATGAAGAAATTCATAACAGCAAACTTGATGGATTAGAAGTCCCAAATTGAGCTCAAGCAGTCACATGCCAGAAAAACAAGTTAAAGAACTCCACTTGGATGTCCCTCTATGTTCATTAGGTATTTTTAGCCAGTATTTCAATACTGGGAGTACCACATTTAAATTCTGACTGATCAGGAATTAATTAGAGCCAAGGGAAATGGCAAAAATAATTAGACATAGGAAGAATTTGCTCTCATGCCGGAATATTATGGCACTTCTACCATTTCAGCAGAGGCCTTTTATGACCAAGGAGTTCTATTTGTGATTCTAGAATAAAATGGGGGGCAGTGAATTGATGTGGCAATAGCACAGGCTGGAAACAAGCCTCCATAATTTAGGTTGTTTAGCTGCCCGTTGAAATGGAAGTCAAGGATTTGATACTGGATTTTTGGTGTTTTGGTTTGAAAATTTTCAGCTGTGATTTTGAATGCACGTACAGAAAACATTGAGTTGGATAGCATGACTGAAATGGTCTTCATGGATTCTTTCTTTCTTTTCGTTCTTTTTTTTTTTTTTGAAAAGAAATGAGGATATTATTAAGCTGAAAAACGAACACTAGAAAGCAGAGAGAGTTTTCCTCTGGCAGACCAGGTTCAAAAGTACAAATAAAAAGCTAAGTGCTGAAACAACAATCAAATGAAACTACAGAAACGGAGACCAATCCCAAACCAAATCTGAAAATAATGACCGACCGAACACCTTATCTCCATATACCCACAAGGAGACCCAATACTTAATTTTATCCCATAAAACAGGGGTTGCCTCCTTACGGTCCTCAAAAACTCTACTATTTCTTTCTAGCCAAATACCCCAACAAACAGCTAACGACGTGACCCTACACAAGATTACCCCTGTGACTTAGGCCCGAAGGTGGAGAGAATTCGAGAAGCTCAGCACAACTCCTGGGCAACACCCACAAAAAGCCCAACTCACTTAGGAGAAATGACCAAATGTGGAAAGAATAAGGGCAGTGAAGAAATAGACGATCTGTTGTATCGCCACTATTCATACATAAAACACACCAGCCCGGAGAAATGTTGAGATAAGGAATTCTGCGCTGCAACAAATCATGTGTTTAATTTGTTAAGAGCAAGAAGCCACCTAAAAACTTTGACCTTGACTGGGGCACGGATTTTCCAAATCTAGGTGTTATAGGCAAAGCTCGGACCTGAATCCTCAGAGGTCAAAGAAGAAAAGAATGATTTGACAGTAAACAGACCACTGGATTCAAGTAACCAATCCCTCCTATCTTGGACCACACCATTAATTCTAACCCTTTCCACAATCCCAGTGAGCTCGGAAACCTCCCTTAACTCCATATCCATCAGATTCCGAGAAAATTGAAATCCCACTAAACAATGCCACCACCTTGGAGATCAGAAACCAAAATAAAGCTTGCAATAGGCTGATTAGGACTGGACGAAATCCTGTAAAGAGCAGGAAACTTGGAACTCAATGGCCTATCATCGCACCAACTGTCCTCCCAAAATCTGATTCTATCCCCAGAACCAACCTTCCATCTGACATTCCTAAAAAAGCCCTATGCACTTAATTGAACTGATTTCCATGGACAACAAAAAGTAACTCGCGAAGCAGCCCCTAAGTCCCAATTATTTTGATCCAATCCATACTTTCCTGCAATTACTCTATGCCAAAGAGAATCTTGTTCTAATGGAAATCGCCATAACCACTTAGCTAACAACGCTTCATTTCTCTTCTTGACATTACCAATGCCCAAACCACCCCTGAGATCCTTAGGCCTACAAACCTCATCCCAGGCCACTAAATGTGTAGCAGTATCCTCCAAATATCCCTCCCAAAGAAAGTCTCACATTAACTTCTCGATCTCCCCCACAACGCTTGTAGGAATTCTAAAAACCGGCATAGTATCGTTAGAGTATAAAAACTATTATTGGCCCACCTCCTAACAGCTTAAGCTTTTGGGATGGATTGGTAAACTAACATGGTATCAGAGCCTTAGGCTCATATCTCTGAAAATTAATCTCCTTCAGCTTTGCCGCCTCTCACAGCCTTATTCTCATGGCATGCCTCTTCTTTTCCAGTCAACTGGCCTTATCCTCTTGGCTGGTTTCTAATATTTCCTTCCCTCATTCTCACGATCTTATTAGGGATCTATTTTTTCCTTTCCAACACTTCATGTCGTTGTTTCTTCCTGTCCGAACACTTTTCACCAGCATTCCTAAATGACCAAATATGGCATGGCAACAGAGAAGTCCACCTCAACCTCGGAAGACAGTTCCAGCACCGAAGTTTCATCCACAATCAATTCCCATGGAGGACCAGAAAACACATCAATTCTCATTACCGGGCACAAGCTTCAATGGCCACAACTACCTACAATGGTCACAATCGGTGATGATGTTCATTTGTGGTAAGGGCAGAGGAAGAGTAATAGGTACAAAGCCTTTTCCAAGCATAAGGGAGGCTTTCTCAGAGGTTCGTCGGGAGGAAAGCCGGAAGAAGTTGATGGGCTCTCAAAACTCCGCTCCAACTCTTGAAAGATCCGCATTGGCCATTCGAGGATCACAAAATAGTGTTACTGACAACAGGCAAAGAAAAGGAAGACCTTGGTGTGATCACTGCTGCAAACCGGGACACCACAGGGAGACTTGCTGGAAGATCCACGGTAAACCATCTGATTATTAGCCTTCTCGATCAAACAATGATCGGGAAGGCAGAATCAATGTTGCTACCGCTACTGGTGACAAGGAAAACTGCACCACTTTTGCTTCACAAGCTGAAAACAGTCCTTTCACAAAGGAACAACTTGAGGTACTCCAGAAGCTGCTTAGCCAGAATGTCATGACTCAAACAAACAATAAAATCCCAGGTTCTAGCATGCTAGCACATAAAGGTAATCTTTCAAATGCCTTTGCGGCTAATAAATGTCATACAAATCCTTAGATTGTTGACTCAGGAGCCTCGGATCATATGACGGGAGATGCCTCCATATTTCACGAGTATAGTCCAAGTCTTGAGAACCATACAGTTCGCATAGCAAATGGTTCCTCATCCAGAGTTAAGGGAACAGGATTAGTGAAAGTCACTAAGGATATAACCCTTCATTCGGTTCTTCATGTTCCTAATTTGGACTGCAATTTACTTTCCATTAGTAAATTAACTCGTGATCTCAATTGTGTGACTAAATTTTTTCCAAACCATTGTGAATTTCAGGAATTGAATTCGGGGAAGACGATTGGCAGTGATGAGGAGTGTTTTGGGCTCTATCTCCTCAAGGACAATATTTCTTCAAGAAGGCAATTTCAAAATAAAAGTGGTGGATCATTCAAGAGTCAGTCTTGTTTAAACACTTGTGTCAATAAAGATAGTAAAATTATGTTATGGCACTATCGTCTTGGTCATTCCAATTTCATATATCTCATAACTTTGTATCCATCATTGTTTATCAATAAAAGTCCAAAGTTTTTTAATTGTGAAGTCTGCCATCTTACTAAACACACTCGTAGTAGCTATCCTAACTCTTCATACAAACCTTCCCGTCCTTTTGCCTTAATTCATAGTGATGTATGTGGACCCTCAAGAGTAAAAAATATCACTGGAACTAGGCGGTTTGTATCTTTTGTTGATGATCATACTCGCTTAACATGGGTATTCCTTATGAAAGAAAAGTCTGAAGTTGGCCAAATTTTCCATAATTTCAATTCTATGATACAGACACAATTTCAAACCAAGATTCAAATCCTTAAAAATGACAATGCCAAAGAATACTTTGAATCAATTCTCGGAACCTATCTCATGAGCCAAGGGATTGCCCACTTGAGTTCTTGTGTTGATACCCCTCAATAAAATGGGGTTGCCGAGAGGAAGAACAGTGACAATGCCAAAGAATACTTTGAATCAATTCTCGGAACCTATCTCATGAACCAAGGGATTGCCCACTTGAGTTCTTGTGTTGATACCCCTCAATAAAATAGGGTTGCCGAGAGGAAGAACATGCACCTATTAGAGGTGGCTCAGTCACTCATGTTCACCACTCACGTTCCAAAATATTTCTGGGGAGAAGCCATACTCACAGCCTCATACCTCATCAATCGGATGCCCTCCAAAATCCTTAAGTTCCAAACTCCGTGCAATGTTGTCCTTCAACATTTCCCACACACTAAATTTATCTCATCATTAGCTCCAAAGATATTTGGATGCTCTACTTTTGTTCATATCCACTCTCAACATCGTGGGAAGTTAGATCCTAAATCCATTAAATGTGTCTTTCTTGGGTACTCCTCACATCAAAAAGGGTA